ATGGCAGATACTAAATGGGTTTACAACTTAGTTGTACTTCAGCAGAAATTTATTTCAGTTAGGCAATTAAACATGACAGAGCATGTGTACCGAGGAGATGGCATAGACCTCACATGGCACTGGTGCCACTGGAGTACTCCCAGCCTAGCTGGCTGCTAGAACAAGAAATGTTTTTTCACATTTTGCAGTGTGATGAAAGGCATCCAAGCAACCAGCTGAGCTGGCAGTTTGTACTAAGGTGTCAGGACACATTTCTTTACTTAACCACAAATCAGCTCGCAGCCTGTCTCTTTCTCTCAAGCTATTTGCTCACTTTAGAGGTACTTAGATGGACTAAATGCACATCCCAGATGTCAGAGCATTTTTAGATCTGCATCCTGACTCTCCTATGGTTGTCCAAATCCATGCATTTTTTTTAAAATTAGAATTTGGAAATTGGCAAATTTTCTAACTTTGATGTGAATCCAGGTATGAACTCTGAAGCCACAACTCCTCAGAGTGTCTGCACTGCCCATGTTATGCAGGCAAACATTTCCAAAAGGTTTGTTACAAGATGATGCTATTTGACCTTTTCTCGCCAGGCTGGATTAAGAAATTACTACAACAGTTAATCAAATTTGAGATGAATTGTTCCAACTACTTCTTAACTGCAAAGTCTTCAGAGGTAAGACATCTTCCCAGACATGCCTATTCTCCCAGGGGCTGGATGTATCTTCAAAACCAGATGGATATTATTTGGTAAGTTTGACAAATGAGGAGCACCCACACATTTCCTTAGGACATGGCAGGTTCCTGATGTACCTTCAAGGTTTGGCTGGCCAAGCATGGCCCCTGTGGCTACGTTGGTCCTATGCCTGGGGCCATTCACACACAGTCACACTGGGAGAAAGTGAACATTGTATTAATGCGCCTTTCACATTTTGGACAAATTGGGTATTTATTTCTCATGTCTCTCCACAAGGAAGAGCTTGCTGCATTTTTCCCAGTGAGAAACAATAATTTTACAGTTTTGTTCAAACCTAAGGCTCTCAAGGAGGCCTTATCTCACCGTCAGTCCCTCTGTCTGGGTTTCTCTCTACATGCCTAGCTTGCAGCATAACCAACCTTTTCTCCAGCCACAGCAAGTAGGGTGGACAGTCACATTTCAGCGTTGTAAAGGCTTGACCAAATAGGTGCTGCGGGAACTTTTGGAGTTCTGCTTTGGACATTGGTCGAAATCCCAGGACAACATCTGACCAGAAGGGTAACTCTTCTTTGGGAGTGCTTTTAAAGACCTGCCACCTAAAAGGATACAGAGAAAAAGCTGGAACACTTTGCTGCTGTTACTCTCCCATGTTATGTTTCACAGCAATCTTAGCACAAACCTAGGAGCTCAGGAACCTGTTCCTACTCATCAGTGCAGCTCTGCAAGGTTAACAGCAACAGGGAAACATTGCTGCCTGCTACTGCAATACCAGCCTGGACAAATAGGCAGAGGGCTGCCACGGTCAAGGGTGAGACACCGTGGTAAATAAACTGCAGAGAGTTCTTCTGGCTATAATGTGTGTACTTCCAGCTGTAGAAGTACAAAGTCCCCTCACACAGTGTCCCCACCACAACTGCAGCCACCTGGCTGGACGTGGTAGGGCCACTTGCACACACAGTCACAGTTTTTTGGGCACCCATAAAGCTAAAGACTGCCCAGCCTCAACACTCTGAAGAGGTGAATTTCTGTGTATATAATAGGCAGCATAAAACACACCCAACATACACACACCAATTGCATCTCTATACCTAGCTGCTGAAGCAGGAAGATCCCATCCCTGTACAGACCACTCCTGCTGCAAGTGACTGGTGGATAACAGTATGGAAAACATCTGTTATTAAAAGACACTTGGTGCTGGCCAGTCTTAGTTTATCTGTGCACACCTATGCATGAATTTTACTTAAAAGTACATTGTATATGAACAGCTGCAATGTGGTTTCTTGGGAATATGGTCATAAAAGCTATTCTATGAAGGGAATACACCTGAACTCCAGCATAGGACCATTCTTACCCAGAGACCAGGTGGACGCCAGCCTCTGATACCTTGGTGGAGTTGCTGATGGCAGAAAGGCAAGCAAAGGTCTCTTTGAACCACTGCTTCTGCATGTGGACCGGTGTGCCTGCATGTGAGCAAAACCAAACATGCAGAGAAGGACAATGCCAAGAGAAGCATACATCAAGTGTCAAGGAGATGGGACAGACAGGGAACACAGGCCAAGGCACTTTTCTTCCTGAGCCTCTGCACATCACTGCACAGCCGGGCACACAGCCACGTGAGGTACCATGGGCAATGCAACGCTGCGGTTCAATAAGGCAAAGTGCTGGTCATGCACTTGGGACACAAGCCCGGGCAGTGTTACAGGCTGGAGGAGGAGTGGCTAGAGAGTTCTTCATCAGAAAGAGACTTGGGAGTGCTGGTGGACTAGGACAGTGATCATCCCCCTGTACTCAGCATTGGTGAGGCTACACCTTGAGTTCTATGTTAATTTTTGGGTGCCTCAATTTAAAAAGGACGTTGAGATACTGGAGTGAGTCCAGGCAAGGGCAGCAAGGCCCAGAAAAGGTCTAGAACACATGTCCTGTGAGGAATGGCTGAGGGAATTGGGCTTGTTTAGCCTTGAGAAGAGGCAGCTCAGGGATGATCTCATGGCTCTCTAAAACTGCCTGAAAGAGGGTTGTATAGAGGTGAGGGATGTTCTCTCCTGCCATGCCTGCAGGGAAAGGACTAGAGGGAATGGTCGTAAGCTGAGACGGGGGAGATTCAGATTATATGTTAGAAGAAATGTTTTCCCTGTGAGGGTGTTCAGGCTCTGGAATAAGTTTCCCAGGAAGGTGGTGCAGTCACCATCCCTGAAGGTGTTTCAGAGGTGTCTGGATCTGACACTGGAGGATATGGTTTAGGGGTTACAGCAGAGTAGCAGGTTAATGGTTGGACTCGAGGATCTCAGAGGTCTCCTCCAACCTTGATGATCCTATGATTCTATGAATTGCACAAACCTGGGTAGGTGTGAGGGATGAGCATCCCAGCTGCAACATCACTCGTGGTGTTGGGGCTGAACTGGTCTGAGAGGACTGTCACAGAGCAGCTGGGATAAGCCTCCATGATGCACAGTGCTGTGGACAAACCGATGACTCCTGCACCAACCACTGCGACCTTGGGTGCTGCCATCTCCAGGATGCAGAGCCAGAGAAGGTACCTACCTGCATTTGGAAATGACATAATACATGGCACTATTATCCAGGCTACACACCCTCACCAGACTATGAAATAACCCACACAAGGTGTCACATGACCCCCCTGGGGCAACTAATTGAAGGCTAACTGCTGCACGCAACCAAGGCAAAGGTGAAGATAAGAAAATCATCGGTGTTTAATATGATGTATTCCAACAGTAACTACCTCACCCTCAGCACAAGAGCAAAGAGCAAGTGAGTGATCTGTACATGCATCACTTGTGTTTTAGGCTGATCTGGGGCAAGGTTTTTCAATAAAACAAGAGAGTGAGGCACCTGCCAAGTTTTCTATCGTGTCAGGGGCAGAAGACACAGCGTTCTGGCTTTTGGCACCATAAGCAAAAACGTTGTTTGAATATTGGGATCTCCAGCAATGAGAGCTATCACTGCATGGGCAGTGGAAGCAAATTGTACAGGAGGCAAATTTATTTCACAGAGCAAAGGGTCCAGCCATTGTGGGAGATGCTTTCCCTTAACATCTTAGTTCCCCTGCTCCTGGGGGCATGCAGGGCTCTCACTCTGACTCTGAAGCCTGGGTTACCTGCTTAGCTCTGTCCTAGAAAATGTGAATTTTAGATATTAAACACAATGCAGACTTTCACAGTGTACTGCCTGGCTGTTTACAGTCCCACATCCAAAAATCATTTGGGCCATGATGCCTTGATGGGAAAAGTGTGGCAAGAGAAGATACTTGTGTTCTGGGGGATTTTGTGCCTCTAATGACTGAAAGTCTCCAATCCATTCTTGGCCCTTTTATCTACCAGTATGACCCTCTACCTAAGGCATGAAGCAGAACTGAACCATGCAACTCAGTGCACCCTGCAAACTCCCCCAAACCAGCACTAAATGGGCCCAAAAGAGACTCTGGGTGACCTCAGAGGTGATAAACCTTTTAGCATCTTTGAACCAAGTGAGTTGGGGTGGACCTGCTGGCCCAAGCATCCCTTCAAGGGGTTAGTACTAAAAGGTGAGCAGGGATGTATGGGGAGAATCTTCTCTGCCTTTGGCTCTTCTTTTTCCTGGAGTATCTATGAATATTCACTCTTGGAGAGGATGCTGAGTGAGATGGACCTTTGGTTTTGTGCCCTTATGGTTCTGGTTTCTCCTACGGGACTTGCTAATCATTGACTGTAGAACTCCAGCCTCACTAATTGCTTTCTGAGAACCTTTTCGGGAAACCAGTCCCTGAAGTTTTAACAACAGGCTGATTTCCCATCTCCCTGTGCCTTTGGCATCTCTGATGTAAATTTAGGCAAGACAGACTGTTGAGGATTATGATAGGTCAAGTTTATTTATGAGGTCCTTGCTCATAACTCTTCACACAGCTTCTCATTTACCCCTGAGGTTTTACTGCTTAAAATTTGATGTCTCTACTATGTGGGAAGGCAGAGAGGAGCAGACACTGTTGCCTGTCATTGCATTCCTTCTACATCACAGCCAAGGGTTGTTACAACCCATCTTCTTCCTCTCAGGGTAATGCTTAAGTTTCTTCCTGTTAATTATCACATTTTCTTTTACAAGCTGCCTATAGAAGTGCCTACACAGCGAGGAAAGAGGAGACAGTGCAGGGAGAAAAATGGACCCTGAACCAGAACTGCTGGTTGCACAGCTGACATGCAGTAACTCAATCTAGAATAATGCTGGGGGAAGGGAAATGGGAAAAGGAAGGGGGGGGAAGGAAGAATATTAGTAACGAGAAGTTGGGGTTCAGGGGAATACTTCTGCAATTACTTAGAAAAATTGGTTCTGAGAAAGGTATTTAAACACATTCTTATTAACAAACCTTCCACTCAGCACTGGCAGCTGTGGAAATGGCATGTGGCTCTCAGCACACCCAGCAAGCCTCCAAGCATGGACAAGCACAGTCCTGCTTTTTCAGCTGCCCTGGAACATATATGACAGGTACATTATGCATCCGCCAGAGATGTGCTCTCGGTTGTCCCTCACCACTTTCCTTTGCTGAAGCCCTTAGACTGTGATGGAGATTGAATTTCCTGACTGACCTCCCTGTCCCCTGGGAAGAAAGGAGAGCTGTGGCTCAGTGGAGGTTCAGGTTTCACAAGTCTTCCCAGTTCAGATGAGATTTCTGCAGATGAGCGGGTGTGATATCAACTGATGCCAATGTTGCGAAATCCAGTGAGGGCAGGAAGGGGCTGCTGACAGTGCTGGAGCCTGCAGGAATGGCTCAGAAGACCATGACAGGACCCTGTTCAGTGCACCATTTTCCTAGCACTTGCTGTACTTCAAGCCACCGTGTGCTACTGGGTGCAAAGCAGAGGCTACACACAGCTTGTATCAGCAAGCACAGCTCAGGCTTTGCAGAGCTACTGACAATGCTGAGTGCAAGGCTCACCTGTGGCTCTGCCCTGGCAGCACAGTCTGCCTCAGCTGGGAGCCTGGCATCTTGCTGGGTAGGGACACAGGAGGAGAAACTATTTTTAGCTGATGTGGCCCAGCTTAGTCCCAGCAGGGGTGACACTGTTCGTCCCCTGAAAAAAATCAGCATTTAAAAGGCAGTTCAGTTGCAATAACTCTTGGGGAGGGAGGCGAACAGTGTCAGGTCCATTTAGCTCTCTGTCCCTTCTTACTGACAGAAGAATGGTACAGAAGCCAGAGCTGTAATTCTCCAGCAAAGAGGACACCAGCTGCCTGATGTGGGTTTTGTGCCCCTACCACCCTCTTGCTCCTCCCAGGCCAGAATGAATTACTTTTAACAATATTGAGATACTTTGTGATGTGACTTCATCTCCCAACTCCCACAGCTGTGGAGACAATATCAGCCACAGGTGATACAAGGGGTTCCTTATTCTTTCTTGCCTTGCATAGCTGTATGCCACCACTGAGTGCCACTAACCTTCAGTTGTAACATCATTCTAGCAGCAGATAACATCATCAATATGGATAAATACACTGGTTCCCAGCACACACACACACAGAGGAACATGCACAACCACTGCCAGCTGCAGCTGCAGCCCAGTCACAGCAGCCTGGCCGCTCTTAGTTTGTTTTGCAACCCAGCTGACCTCCTAAAATAAGCATATTTACACGCCCAAATAAAGAGTGGAAAAAGCCCAGCTAAACTCTTCACCAGAAAATAGAACAGGAAGTAACTAAAGAATACCAAAACCTGTTATATTTGAAGTCCTGTGGTTTGCTTGGGGTTTTTTAACTAACTAACATCATAACTAAGTGCTGAAACACTGTTTTGAATCACTTGAAGCCTGAAGTACCAAGCAGCAAAGGTCCCAGCCTTTGAACTTCTGGAGGGACTCCTCATCCATCAGGGTGGCTGCACCCACTGTCCCTGTGAGTCCCAGCTGTGAAGCACTTTCTCTCTCTTTTTTTTTCTGATCACTCCTTTGTTTATCCACTTCTCTGGTTTCCAAGCACCCTTGGTGTTGCTTCCCTTCACCTCACCCCCAGAGGTTTTGCCAAGCCAAGCCATGGTGCTCATGAAGACTGATCCATGCCTGGGTGTTTGTGGAGGAGGGGACCCTGGTTTTTGGCCTTTTGACTCTGTCCTGGTCCCTTTCCTGCCATTTGGGCTGCTCTGTGAGACGCACATTTGGGAATTGCTGCCAGAGGAAGACGAGGATGCTGTCTCCTCTCTGAACAAGGGACTGCTGTCAGAAAGCAGGTGCCACAGGGGCCACAGAAAGCCACCACCCCAAGGGACGCTCACATGCACGGAAACACCTCCCGAGGGGTTATATAGGGTTATATATAGGTTATACCCTCCCCATCAGCTAGCAGCAATAATCACCTTCCCCGGCATCGCCGAGCGATGATGCTCTTGCTTTCCTCCCAAAACCAGAGAGGTCTGCGATCCTCTCTCCGCGCACAGCTGAGGTCGTCGAGCCCATCTGCGCGAGGAGAGGGGAAGGAGGGAGAAGCTGCGATCCCGAATCCCCCCAGCCCGTGCCGCGGCTCCGGGCGCACAGCCC